GATGAATATCATCCTTGTCATACAATCTCCACTTGGCAAAATGCTCATCTTTCAGGGATAAACTCAAATGCCAGCTCAGGGTGGCCTTTTTTCAATACCACTAGCCAGAGGTTGTCTTTTCTCTTCTTATATGTGTCTACTGGCACTTATCATAGTGCTGTAATTATTTGTTTATACATCTGTCTCCCCACCTAAATAATGAACACTTTTCCTTGAGAAAAAGAACCAAATTTCACTTTTGTTGTAATCCTATGCCTAGTACCATTGCCATAATATAATAAATGTTGAATAAATGTGTGGAAACAAATGCACATACCCTCTAGGAAAAAAACCTGAATTTTTGCTTTATTTTCTCTCTCTCTGAAAACTGTTGAACCAATTTTTGACAATTTGAGATGAAGGACTAACATGAAGCTTGACACTCATTTTATAAGTTCATGATCTAAGTTGTATACCGAATCAGGAGATAGAATTATCCATAGGTTTGCAATATTTATGCCAAGTCTTCTCCACTCTGACCTTTAATAGTCCTGAATTGGCTATGCATGAATACTATACTCTGTGGCTGTTGAAATCCACAGTAAAGAATCATTAAGTATTTAAAAACCACCATTAAGAAATTAAGAGAGTTAATATATTAGAAAGTATAAAGAGCTTACTTGTTACAGTATCTTCTCCTGGGGTTATCCATAGATTACTATGAGACATAAATTGCTTCCTTTAACACCACATGAACACCTCTCTTCCTTACTATCTACTTTGCAATTAGTTTATTAATGTATTACTTATACTCTCTATTGGCTACATATTCTTTGAGAGCAGGAACAGTTTTAGACATCTCTCTGTTATCTGTAGCACCTAGCACAATTTTTGTGGGACAGAAACTGTTTCAATAAACAGTTATTGTTCAAATCTATTAATGACCATATTCCAAGTGTCTAGTAAATATTAAAAGTGAGCAACATGGGAGAAATTACTCTTATCATGGTATCAGTAACAAATGTCCTTCTCCTAAGCAACTAGTTTGTTTTACATAATGCTCTTGATGAATTATGTTACTACTCTCATTTCTTCTTTTAAAGTTCTCTACCAGACATCTAGTGGCTAACTTGGTGGACCCCATGTATCAAGCACATGGGACTTCCAGATACAATTTTATTTACCAAACTCTATCTCCTTTTTTTCCTACATTTATTTTCCCTTTATGAAATTTTTGCCACTAATTTCAACTTAATATTATTTTACTATATAATATGCATCTTTGTACACTGTCTTAAATTATTTTAGACTAAACAGGTATTCATGAACATAAATAAACAGATACATAGGTATAATAAATATCAATGAATAAATAATAAATATCAAATCTTAGATTTTCTTAATTAAAACTAATTCTTGATTAAAATGATTCTCACATTTGATATTGAGGAATTTCTTTAAATTATCATTACCGAATCATAATTTTAATCACTCTATAGATTATTTACAATTTTGCTCATGCTTGAGAGATAACTTTTGTTTTCCATGTAATCATCTAGCCTAATTACTACATACTTTCAAATTGGCTTGTGGCTTTATGGGAGAAAAAGAGAGTGAGAAGATGAATAATTATCTTCAAGATTACCTTTGTACGTTAAGAGCTGGGATGCAATAATGGCTAAAAGATACAGTACTTAGTGGGCCAGCACTGCCATAATAGCTTACCATCATGTAAGTCTCACAGCAACCCTAAGAGAAGATACTATTACTATCATCCCTTCATAGAAATAGGAAACTGAGGCACTCAGACATTTGGTAACTTGCCCAAGATCACACCATGAATACACGATGGAACTAGGATTGAAACTGCAACCAGGATTGATTGGCTCTAGAGTTGTGTCCCTACCCACCTTATTACACTCCCTCAACTACCCTGTGTCTTCCAGGTCCTGAAAGTGTCAGTAAGGTAACATTGAAATATTATTAATAGTTTCCAGTACTGTCCAAGAACTATTGCAAACAGATGGTCAGTAATGCCGCTGACAATTGCCCCTCAGATTCCACTTTTCTTCTTCAGAATAACATTTCCCAGCCCTTACCCTTCTCAAACAAAGCATTAATGGATGATGCTTTAATGTAAACTTTTTGGATTTTTAAGATATCCAAATGCTATTTAAGTGAAATGAATTGAGCAAATGGGGAATTTTCTTTCACTCTTAGTAGCAAAATTATTCATTGCCTCCTGCTATTATAAGTCATCTGTTGCTTCAGTCAATACTGCCTGGGGCAGACCTGGGCTTTATTTGCCATCTCTGTGTTTGAGCTTTGAAATGAGGCTATCGATTTATGATCAGTGTAACTCCTGGCTGACTCCTGGATGCTATGATGCACTAATATAGGGTTTTGAGAAAAATGACCTGCTGCCCTTCAAGGTCGGATCTACATCTTGTTCATTGTTTTGTCATTCCAGCATCTAGCATATAATAAACACTCAATAAATACATGTTGAATGAGTGACTAGATTCATAAATTACTCTTTGGATGAAAATTTTAAGTTTCTAATGGATAAAGACTCTGTTTAACACCTTATGTAGTGCTAACATTGAACAATACAGATATGATCAAGTAAATAAACTGATATTAGTAAAACAAGTGGAAAGATTTATGTGTTACTGAAGTCATATGCTAGGAGACACATAAAAATAAAAGTTCTGTCAACTACAAAAATTATTTTTTAAATCCTATGAATCTCAAATGATAAGGAGCCAACTTCTTCATAATTAACTAGATATTTAACTTTTTTTCACTTCCTCAGTGATATAAAAGGATATTAAACTCTCAATACTTTCTCTTTTAGAAAGCTCTCAATACTTTCTATTTTAAATCTTCATCACTTTAAATCTACAGTGACTCCCAGGTGTAATAGGTATTAGAAAAATAAAAGACATTATATACATCTCTGGGAGATTAGTTAAAAGATTTCTATTCTTCTGTTTAATTGTAAATGGCCCATTGCGATGCCATTCAGAGAAGATTTTGCAATGGGAAGTGTGAATGGGTTTAAGGGGAAAGAGTCTCAGCTAGCCTGGAATGAAAATCCAGATATATCTGGCATTTGGCTTTAGAAGAACCTGCTGCTCATTAAGGTGTCCATAGTCATCTGGTGATTTACACGATGAATGAGGACTCTCCTAAAACATTGTAAACCATATTCCTAATTGGGGATCAAATCTATACAGGAATGTATAGAGGACTGAGAGTGGTAGGGAAAGAGGGAATCCAGGAACACCAGCTGTAGCATCCCTTCTACCATGCTCCCAGCCCCATGGAGGGGCCCATTTATTAATAACTGGGTGTCACTGCACAGCCAGATGCTCTTCCTTTCTCACTCCCCAAGGACTGCCAACTTGGGGGCCATGAGCGCTGAGGGCTTCAGGGCTGGGCGTGGGGATGGATCTGATCTTCAACAGGGTGGAGGCTGATGAGGGGAGCCCTGAACTGGACCTGGGAGGACACACAAGCCACAGCTGGGGACCACAACACACTTGAGATGGACTTCGCAGGGATTGACATGCCTGTGTGAATGAACAGAGTTTATAGCCAGCAGAATGTGTCTGTATCTGCTGCACCGTTTAAGTTTCACTCTAAGTGTGAAATCACCTGAGCCTGTATGTTGGGAAAAACCTAAACTCATTCAGTTTATAAATCCTCTTTAAAATAAAGTAGAAATAAAATTATAATCTACTATACATTTTTGACTAGCATCATGCTTTATGGTTTCATAAACCATCTTGTTACTTTCTTAGAACTGCTCTGTGAGAAAAAACAGGGCAGGTGTTATCTCTCTAGTATATGGCAGGCGTTATCTCTCTAGTATATGAGGAAACTGAGGCTCAGAGAGGCCAAGAGATTTGACCTTGATCATACAGCTCACGTAAAACTGGGGGACTGGCTGGGGCGAAGCTGAGACTGTCACATGACAGATAAGTGCAGGGCTTAACTCTTCATAGCACATACTAATATTACTCCTCCACACAGATCGTAATGGTGAATTTCCCTCTCCTTTTCTTCCCTTCTCTTCCCCTTCCCTGATTTCTCTTCCTCTCTCTCTCCTGACAGATTCCAGGGATGTCTTTCCCGGAACACGGTGGTTACTTGGAGAAGGAGGATAGGGAGGAGAGAGACACAGAGGGGGAGGTTATGACAAAAGGCAGAGATTAGGGTGGGGCTGGTAGAAGTTCTACCCACCTCCTCCCTTCACTCTGCACTCTTTAAAAACATTTCCAGAGTCATTCCTTTTTTAAAATCTCATTTCACCAGAATGTGGAAACACAATTAACCAAATGCTGTAATGTACTTATTGAATATGGAAAAGCCATAGCAGCATTCATTTTTTAAATAATGCAACCCATCTGGGGCTACCAGTAACAAGGACTAGGGCATGTAAGATCCCATAAGCTTTTCAGTATTCAGTGAGTGTTTAGTATTTTCTTTTCCTTATTCCCCTTTTCAGACGGAATTGCCCATTTCCACATCTTCTCTATGTCTCTGCAGAAGCCAGTCCACCAAAACAGTATGCACGGGCCTCACAAGGAACCGGGCAGGCATCCCTCACAATCCCAGTCTTCCTTCAGCACTCTGGTGAGGACTGCAAGAGTCCTGCAAGAGAAATGCCTTCTAGCTGATATTTCCATCTTATGAAAAAAAAAAAAAAAAAAAGCAGAACAATGAAGGCCTCCAGGGGCAGCAAGGCTGGCAGAGAGAGCTTGGTTCCTAACAACTGCAGTGAGAAATTCACACTGAGGTCCAACAGAGAGCCTTCTCGTTTCTGGACAAAAGAAACCGTTGTCACCATTCCAGTAGGCCCAGATCAGGCTGAGGCCATCTTGCCTCTCTTCCCACAGTGCACGTGATTGCACCCACCATGTCATAAAGATTAGAGATGTCAGTTGCATACACCTGATTACAGAGTCCCAGCAAAGACCCGGAGCTTTGGGGAGTGAATCAGAGCCAGCCCTCACCACAGCTATCTACCCTCACCACAGCTATCCAACAAATTCCATTCCTCAGAGATTTGCAGAGTGCCTGCTACCTGCAAGGCACTATACTGTGAGTTAAAATTTTAAAGGAATCCTCATGGCCTCTTTTGCCTTTGATGAATAACCCTGGGCAGGGAGAGTTGCTCTTGTTATCAAATGATGGGCTGAGGCCCAGAGAGGTTCTGTGATAGTGATGAGGTAGGGAAGTCTGAAGCATGAGAAGAAATGACTTGCAGCCTGGTTTGCAGTAGCTGAGAGTATGAGCTGGGCAAGTCTTCCAACCACTCAGGCCATAGTTTCTCAGCTATAAAGAGGAGGATCACTGCACGGTGTCTGTCAATGATGCCTTTGTAGCTAATGTTTATTGAATACCTATTATATGAAGTGGGTACTCATTTCTGCATAGGGATATTTCTAATATTCTCTGTATGATTTGTGAAGATCCCATACACTTAAGGCAATGCTATATAAATCTTATAAGGAAATTTATTCATATAGAAGAAATAAGGGGAAAGTGAACAGTATTTTCTTTCCTTCCTCAGCTGGAGTTTCTTTAAGTCAAAATTCTGTCTCATCTCATCCATTATGTTTAGTTTTACATGGGATGTGGAGTCTGAGCCAGAACATCAAGACTTGCAGAGTAATTTTTTGTTGTTGTTATTTTGAGTTTTAATATAAAAAATAGTTGCAGAGAAAAGGCAATTTCTAGTCTGTCCTAGCAGTGCCCCAGAAGGTTATGCAAGCTTTCCACAAGTAGAGACCTAAAATTCACCCTTTTAAAAAATCCATTGCAAAAAAAAAAAATTTTAAAAATCCACAATAAACATGTTTTATGATAAATACATAGTTATTATTCTCAGCAGATACTATACATGTCTGTTGCTGTTTGATGTGTAAAATATTTTATAATTATTTAGCTGACTCTGATGATAACCTTCTAAATTAAAACTCAGACTCAGTAATGGATGTGCTGACCCCACTTGCAGTCCAGAAGCAGGAAATGAGTGAAGACCTCTGGTTGAAAAAGAACCTTTCTGTGTTTTTCTAGCAAGTAAACTGTCATCACATTTAATTGAGATTTGAGAAATGGGTAGCAAAATAGCAGTGAATGATGGTATTTGCAAATTAGTTGAACCTAAGTGAATTTTTGCCTGGAGTGTTCAGACTGAGAAAATAAATATAAGGAAAATCAATGTTAGCAAAAAGAATCTTCCTTGTTTCCCTACTGATTTTCCATGGAGTAGAATGTATATATTTGCTTCAGCTTGGAAGTCCCTGCCTTTGTTTGGCCCTTTAAGGGAATCTGTCAAATTTCAGATGAGATGTTCTAATAGAAACAATCTTTGAACTTACTGTACTGATCAAAGTAATGACTCAACCTGTATCTTTCCCCACTCAGCCCCCAATATAGATTTTTCTTTTTCAAGGAATTATTTCAAATGTTTCCAAAGAAAGAAGCTTTTCAATTTTCCTGACTTGCAGCTATAATATGGGCAAAATCATCAATACCCATTTCTGCCAGTAAATCACCTTCATGGTTATCAATTAACTTACCCCAAGCTCTGTTCTTAGCACATTCATGTTGCACCTTTATAAAATTTAAGTACATGAGGTCAAAGCAAAAGTAATGAGCTGTGAAAGAATGTTTCCTGACAAATTCTTTATTCTAAACATAATCATATCTAACAGACATGTCCAACAATCGGAGTTATAGAACAGTTCTCTCTATCCCAAGTGTAACATGTTTAATTGAGATAATCAGAGCGTTTACCATATAGTTAACATTAATCTTTTTTGATAGAATGTTCCATATTTTCCAGATAACACAGTATATTCTGTTTTGGCTTCATAATTAACTTAAAATCAACCAAATTCCATTTCTATGTGGAAACATGATTAAGAACCTGTTTGTCTTTTCACATTAATACATATATAGAGAATATGTACACATATAAATACACATATATAAAGGTTAAATTTTCTCTGATCATTTTTTAGCTCAGTAAGTTATAGTAAATATTAAGCTTCAACAAAGTAATGAGATTTTTTTTTGTCTAATTTGTTCTTGATTCCAATGGTAAATAAGGAGGAAAAGAGAAGATAATCATTGTCATAAATGACAAGTGATCTTCCTTCCCTTCCTCCTTCTCTCCCACCCTCCTTCCTTCCTCCCTTCCTTCTTTCCTTTTCTCTTTCTTTCTCCTTTCCAAAGTCTCTGGATAGATTCTAGAAAGGGCTGCATAGTCTTAGAATCAAAATTTCCACTATGATTTATTTAACTTTTTCCAGCTTTTACATTGAGTATATATTTTTATAAAATCAAAATATGTTCTCTTTTAAAATTAGGTTTATTTCCAATGCTGACATAAAAGGTCACATAATTTTCAGTGCAATCTTCAGCCATGGATCCCCAAGAAACTCTTCTAAGTTTGTGTGCTATAATAGGTATGTGGAATAGTCATTTCCTCCTTCTTCAACAGAAACAGGGAAAGGAAAAAGGGCTTCAGAATAAAAAAAAAAAGAAAAAGAAACAGAAGTCTCATTTTTACAAGTCAAAAGTAATTTTTATCCCTAAAAAATGTTTTAAAAATGATCCTGGCTTTAAATTACCATAATTCTTACCTAGCACTACATAAGGAAAGGGAAGTAAAAGAGAAAGGAATCATAAAATCTCAGTGTAATGCATTCTTACTTCCAGCAGAACCTCAGTTGTTTCCTATCCTGCATGACTTCCCAGCACTTCTGCATTACTCGTACCCTTATTCTTCTCTAATATGTTTCACATTGATTTTTTTTTCTCTTCTCTGCTGACTGCACAGTCTGAAAATGCTTTGACCTTAAAGTCAAGGTCAAGTTTGCATTCCTGGAGTAAACAAGAAAGAAAGATGGAGAAAAGGGCTTAAAAACATCTGACCAGGAAAAACTAGAGCAAAATACGTGTCCTAAAAAAAGGGAAAACAGTGTGTTTATTCTGAGGTTTCTTTTTCTTCTAAATTTGACATTCAAGGTGAAGAATATTAATATAAACTGCCAGTGAAAGGAGAGAAGTTTTTCCTCAAGTACTATTTGTGTAGGAGTTAGTCTGGCATTAACTATTCTTATCACTATGTAGAATAATAGATGGATAGAATGAAATTTCTAACCATATTTTTATGCTCAGGTACTATACTGGGAAAATAAGAACTGCACATTATGGCTCCAAGAAAAGTTTAGATAAGTCAGTGCCAGAAAAATATGTAAAAATCTGTACATTTGAATAATCTTCTAGAATTACTGCAGGTTTTATAAAAACTTCATCTTTGTCTCAGGTCTTGGCTACAGCAATTTGACAGTTAACTGAATAAAAAGATAGTGCATCTTGAAATGTTCATAATTTTTCATGTATAACAAAAGCAGAAAAACAATTATATTCATATAAATATATGTTTTTCTTTTTCTATCCTAGTGTGAAGCAAAGGTCTGACACAACTAGCAGAAGGCACTTACGTATGACATGTGAAATGTGGACATGATCAGCGAACACAAGAGTAACTCGATGGGGTGTCTGGGGAACCTGCTTTTTCAATAAAGGCGCTCCACTGAAATGTTATGTCTCCTTAGAGAGGCCTTTTAATATAAAGTCCAGTCTACACATAAGCCTTTTTATAATTCATGTCTGAATTTTGATGTGATATGATGTGATGTTATCCAGAAAGCAGTTTCAGTAATTGGTTTGCATTCAAATGCAATGCCTAGTTTGGCTTAGACATATATATTGTGTGTTATAAGATCTCTTTCCATTGAAAACACATTTTCACTAGGATTAGAGACCTGCATATGATTGTTAATGAACAAACAGTATTGGTGCCTACCCAGCATCCATTCCCTTTTCCTCTGTAACAGAACCTAATTGTGTCCAGCTATCCATGTTCCATCCTTATAGGCATGAACCACAACTCCAGGGCTGACCTCATTGGAATATGGATTTATTTGTTGATTTCTATTTTCGTGGCCAGTAATTGATTCAGGAATGGATGTGTGACCTAACTCTGGACAGTGAGATGTGCAGAGATGCTGCCAGAGGAATTCTAGAAGAAAAACAGAAACTTTTCAAAAGAAGACAGACTAATGGCCAACAAACATATGAAAAAAATGCTGAACATCTCTAATCATCAGGGAAATGAAAATAAAAACCACAATGAGATAACACTTAACTCCAGTGAGAATGGCTTTTATCAAAAAGTTTCAAAAAAATAACTGTTGGCATGGATGCGGAGAGATAGGAAAACTCGTACACTGCTGGTGGGACTGCAAACTAGTACAACCTCTGTGGAAAGTAATATGAGATACTTCAAAGAGCTACAAGTAGAACTATCATTTGATCCAGCAACCCCATTACTGGACACCTACCCAAAGTAAAAAAAAATGCACTATAAAAAAGACATCTGCCCTAGAATGTTTATAGCAGCACAATTCACAATTGCAAAGATATAGAAACAACCCAAGTGCCCATCAATACATGAGTGCATCAGTAAAATGTGGTATATGTATATCATGGAGTTCTACTCAGCCACAAAAAACAATGGTGATCTAGCACATCTTGTATAGAGATAGAATCCATTCTGCTAAGTTAAGTATCACAAAAATGGAAAAACAAGCATAGCACGTACTCACCGTCAAATTGATACTAACCAATCGACACTTATGTGTGCATATAGCAGTAACATTCATGGGGCATCAGGTAGGTGGGGGGGGGAGGAGGGAATGGGTATATTCACAACTAATGGGTGCAGTGCGCACCGTGTAGGGGATGGACACTCTTGAAGCTCTGGCACAGGTGGGGCAGAGGCAATATATGTAACCTAAACATTTGTACCCCCGTAATATGCTGAAATTAAAAAAAGAAGCATGAGAAGAGACTCTTTCTTCTTCTCCTTGGTATTATTGCTGCCCATAAATGTGCTACTTACAACCAGCACAACCTTCTTGATGCCAGTGTAAAGATGAAACCAATCCAAAGGATACCAGAGTGATGAAAAAATTTATAAAAAAAACCAAAATTGAGTATCATTGAGGCATGGTGTCAACCAGCCCTGAGGTTCACCTTACTTGAAACTTGGCTATGTGAGACATTGTTATTGTCATTTAAGACACTTGGCATCTGGGTTTCTATTATTTTCAGCCTGTAGCAGGCTAACCAATTTCTCTTGGCTTCCTTCAATTCCTGACTTAGGCTTTTCAGAAGAAGAGAGAATCCAAAGCTAATGCGTTTACCCTCGTATTTAACTTGAAACTTTCTGCCACGAACATAGAGAACAAGATAAATTTCAAGAACTAAAACAAGATGATTAAACAATATTAAAACATTAATTTTTGAAATGTACCTTGGAGGAGTTGCAGTGTTTTCCTGGCAATGCTGCCAGTGCCGGGCTGCTGAGTAGAGACGTGAAGGACAAAGCATCTGATGACCTGTGCTGTCATTTATGCCACGAGTTCACACAGATGATGGTCAGTTTAATGAATCAGATTGGACCAAACAAATTCAATCTGTCTCCACAACCTTTCTCAAATCCACTGTCAGAGTTTTCTTCCCTACCCCTCAGTGACATCTTGGGCAGATCCCACAACTTTTTGCTTACTTTCAGGTACTATAGAACTTATTTTCAGGAGCTAAAAACTCTAATCAAATCTGATATCAAAATATCAATCTCTCCTCCAAATGAAAGCTTCTCTTCCCCTCCCCAGCTCCTGTCTGTTTGTGGATCTTTCTATGTTGTCAGATGCCCCTGTGAAGAATAAACGTCCCTTTCATGAGGTACTCCTATTAATTCTTTGGGGCCCCCTTCAGGGACTCACACATGTAACATTTCCTGATGCACCTAAAGCATTCTTTGGCTAATCTCTTGCAAGACCTTTAATTCCTGCTGCTGGAAAGTTCTTGAGGCCCTTCACTCCAGCAAATACCTCTTTCAAATAACTTGTACTGTCTTACATAGTTGCCATTTATCCCACAGGAAAACAGATGCATCCTTCCCCATCCTGGTCTCAAACTGCAGGCACTGCTACCCTCTGGCCTTACTCTGCCACATTGTGCATTTTCAGCCACTTCACATCTTGTGATTTCTCTTGCAAAGAATCAGGCTCCAGTGCCTGTTCTGCCCAAACTCTAGAGCTGCCTGCCCAAACGCTAAAGTCATTAACCACATGTGGCTATTGAGTACTTCAAATGTGGCCAGTCCAAACTGAGATCTCAAAGCTTAGCATGAAAAAAAGCAAAATATCTCATCATTAATTTTTATATTGATCATATGATAATATTTTGGATATATTTGTTTAAACAAAATATATTATTAAGATTAATTGAGATTCAGTGGCAAGATGATGGACTAGAAGCAGCCCACATATGCCACTCTCAAGAGAGGATCAAAGTTGCAGTTGGATGCCACCTATGGATGGGCCTTCTTGGACAGAGCATTGTGAATCATTAGAGAAGCAACAAGGGACATTCAGAGTGAAGGAGGAGGTGACAGGGCAATCCACACAGCAAGATCATAAGGTATGTAAGGGGGCCTCCACATGTGGGGTTAGGCAGGAGGAGAGAACCCCGGGACTCCATGCTTCCCCCATGGACACTGTGGCCCAAGCTGTGAGGGGTCTTCACCACCGCTACAGACTCCAGACTGATTGGGGAGCTGCCTGGGGTCTGTGCAGCAGCATTGCACCTGAGAGCGGGCACAGCGCCAACTCCGTGACTTTCCTTCCCAAGATGCTACAACTGATGTCATACTGAGCTTGTTATTTCTTTTCTTTTACTAGCTTTGGTTTTGGTTTGCTCTTCTTTTTCTAGTTCCTTGAGATGTGACCTTAGGTTGTTAATTTGTGATCTTTCTGTCTTTTTGATATAGGCATTTAAGGCTATAAACTTTCCTCTTAGGACTGCTTTTACTGTATCCCACAGATTTTACTGTATCCCACAGATTTTGAAAATTTCTGTCCTTTTTATTGTTCAGTTCAAGGAATTTTTTGATTTCCATCTTCATTTCATCATTGACCCAAGGATCTTTCAGCAGTAGATTGTTTGATTTCCATGACTTTGTGTAGGTTTGAGTGTTTCTCTTAGAATTGATTTCTAGTTTTATGCCACTGTGGTCTGAGAAGATATATGGTATGATTTAGATTTTCTTGAATTTGCTGAGACTTGTTTTGTGGCCTAAGATATGATCAGTCTTAGAAAATGTCCCATGTGCTGATGAGAAGAATGTGTACTCAATAGTTTTCAGAGAGAATGTTCTGTAAATGGAGGCCATTATTCTAAGTGAAGTATTTAAAGAATGGGGGAAAAAACACCATATATACTCACTAATAATTGAAAGCTAAGAGATGGCATAAACAGGCACAAAGAGATGTATAGGACATTGGAAACCAAGAAACCAAGAAGAGGGGTGGGAGGGGGACAAGGGGTAAAACTTACCTATTGGGTACAATGAACACTATTCTGGTGACAGGCACACTAAAAACCCAAAGTTAAGCATTATACAAGGCATCCATGTAACAAAAGCATTGTATCCCCTTAATATTTTGAAATAAAAAAATCAATTGTGCAAAAAAATAAAGTTAGAAAAAATATAGTAGGAAATGAATCTCTAGAATTACTTTGAGAAATTTACTGTTTCCAAACTTTTGTTGGTTTTCTTTTAGCCTATGATAACATCCTTTAATGACCTTCTTAAACACAGATAAACATAGATACTTTCAATATATTACAGTCATTTGAATAAAGCTTTCAGCCAAACAAATAAAATAAATAAACAAATAAAATTAATCACCTGCTTCCTTTTACTTTTTTAAAAATAGGCTACTAGAAAATCAATTTCATGTGAAGCTCACATGATATTTCTACTGGCCTGCAGTGCTCTAAAGCCTTGCTCCACAAAGAGTGCCCCAGACCAGGGCGCGGGCAAAACCCCGGAGCCTCTTAGAAATGAAGGCACTTGGGCGGACTGTAGTGCTCAGAATGAGCATTTTAACCTGCTGTCCCGGGAAAGCTCTGGTGCAGGGCAGAGGCACATAATCTGAGGTTCGGACACTCCATGTTGATCCTTGAACAGTCTGTTACCGACTCATGACAACATACATGTAGAAATTGAGAGAACTGTCTAGAAATTTTTGCAGTGATTTGCATTATGATACAGGGTATGTGATCTGTGAATATTGCTTCCACTTTATTCTAGAAATTCCATCTTATTAACTTTTATAGGAGCGTCAGTCCATGATGGATTGGAAATTAAAACAACTTGGTCCTTTATCACAGAAAGCTTGTAAAGCCCTGCTCTGGAGTACATGTTTCAAACTCTCCCAGGAAATTTTCAAACTCCATAGGACAGCAGTGAGCATCTCGCTCCTGGTGAGCATCTCTCCCCTCACTACCGTTTCTCCAGAGGGTTTTCCTCCCTCAGGTTAAGGTGAGGTCACATAGCTACTTACCTTTCCACACCACAGCTCTCTACAAATTTCCTTTAAGGAATTATCCTATCATTTACCTCCAGGTTATTAAATGTGCTTTTTGAAGTGGTAGTAGTTGCCCA